TTACTATTTTATTATATTCCTTCTACGTGACTTTACCGAAAGAACCAAGAAGATGAATCCCTGCAGTCACGAAAGCTTTACATCGAAATTAAACTTTTCACTTCATCTCTGGAGGCATCTTCAAGCCATCTCGGTCAGCCGGCCGGTGACGCCTCTCCCGTCACCTTCTACACTGCCACGTGACCTTAAAGTGCACTTAGCCTGGCACAAGCACCGTGCTGAGGTCACCGCTAAGTGGTGCGGTGACGTCACCGTCGCCTAGTAGCTGAACGACGATCGTTGTTGTGGTGGTTGTTGTTGTGGTGGTGGCTGTTGTGTATGTGTGTGTGTACTAGGGCTGAACGATTTGGTGAAGATATCTAATTGCGAATTTTCTGACAGATATCGAGATTTGATTTACGATTAGATTTTTTAAAGTCAAGCTTCAGTTCAATATCCACCGTGTAATAGATTTAAAACATGTGATGGAGCATTACCACATGATACCATCTCAATATGAACTGCTCTATATATTCTAACGCATCGATGAGAACTTAAAATATATTAATTGCTCCCAACATGTATTTATAAAAATGGTTTAATTGAAATAGAACAATCAAACATAGAACAATTGTAAAGTTAAATAAATACAGTTGTAATAATACAATAATAAAACAATTCCAATAAGTAATAGGACTTTTGAAATCGCTAAAAATCGCAGCCTTTGCGATTTGATAATCGCATTGTTTCAAATTGCGATTTCGATTTGAAATCGATTAATCGTTCAGCTCTAGTGTGTACGTAACTGTGTACACCACGTGTGTGCGCATGTCGTCTTTGTCGACTCAAACGAGTAGCTGGTGCGGGGTGCAGTAAACATCGCCACTGGGGAGACAAAGGCGGCCGGGCGTGTCGCTGGCCACCCACCCCCTCGTGTGCCGTGCCGGCCTTCATAGGTGCTGCTCGCTAACAGCACTTGCCCCAACAGTCTGTCAAGGCTACACGGGGGATCTTTGTCTTTGTTACGTGTTTGGGGAGCGGTGGCGCATCGGTGAGCGGGTTGCACTATGAACCCGGCGACCCGAGGTTCGTTTTCCGTTCACAGCCGACGCCGGTAACGAATATCCGAAGTCGTCTCCGAGTATAACATCGTGGTGGTGATGGTGGTGGTGATGATGGGTGGTGATGGTGATGGGTGGTGGTGGTGGTGATGGTGGTGATGGGTGGTGATGGTGGTGATGGTGGTGATGATGGGTGGTGATGGTGATGGTGGTGATGGTGGTGATGGTGGGTGGTGGTGGTGATGGTGGTGGTGATGGGTGGTGATGATGGGTGGTGGTGGTGGTGATGGTGGTGGTGATGGGTGGTGATGATGGGTGGTGGTGGTGGTGATGGTGGTGGTGATGAGTGGTGGTAGTGGTGATGGTGGTGGTGATGGGTGGTGGTGGTGATGGTGGTGATGATGGGTGGTGATGGTGGTGATGGTGGTGATGGTGGTGGTGATGGGTGATGGTGGTGATGGTGGTGATGGTGGGTGGTGGTGGTGATGGTGGTGGTGATGGGTGGTGATGATGGGTGGTGGTGGTGGTGATGGTGGTGGTGATGGGTGGTGATGATGGGTGGTGGTGGTGGTGATGGTGGTGGTGATGAGTGGTGGTAGTGGTGATGGTGGTGGTGATGGGTGGTGGTGGTGATGGTGGTGATGATGGGTGGTGATGGTGGTGATGGTGGTGATGGTGGTGGTGATGGGTGGTGGTGGTGATGGTGGTGATGATGGGTGGTGATGGTGGTGATGGGTGGTGATGGTGGTGGTGATTGGTGGTAGTCGTGGTGGTGGTGATGGGTGGTGATGGTGGTGATGGGTGGTGGTGGTGGTGATGGTGGTCGTGGTGGTGGTGGTGATAGGTGGTGATGGTGGTGGTGATGAGTGGTGGTGGTGATGGGTGGTGATGGTGGTGGTGATGGTGGTGATGGTGGTGATGATGGGTGGTGATGGTGGTGATGGTGGTGGTGATGAGTGGTGGTGATGGGTGGTGATGGTGGTGGTGATGGGTGGTGGTGGTGGTGATAATGATGGGTGGTGGTTGGTGGTGATGGTGATGGGTGTTCATGGTGGTGGGTGGTGGTGATGATGGGTGGTGATGGGTGGTGATGATGATGGGTGGTGATGGTGGTGGGTGGTGGTGATGATGGGTGGTGATGGGTGGTGGTGATGATGGGTGGTGATGGTGGTGGGTGGTGGTGATGATGGGTGGTGATGGGTGGTGATGGTGGTAGTGATGGGTGGTGGTGGTTGGTGGTTATGGGTGGTGATGGTGGTGGGTGGTGGTGGTGATGATGGGTGGTGATGGTGATGGGTGGTGATGATGATGGGTGGTGATGGTGGTGGTGATGATGGGTGGTGATGGTGATGGGTGGTGATGGTGGTGGTGAATGATGGTGATGATGGGTGGTGATGGGTGGTGGTGATGATGGTGGTGGTGGTGGTGATGATGGGTGGTTATGGCGATGGGTGGTGATGGGTGGTGGTGATGGTGGTGATGGTTGTGATGGTGGTGATGGTGGTGGTGATGGTGATGATGGGTGGTGGTGAATGATGGTGATGATGGTGATGGGTGGTGATGGTGGTAGTGCATGATGGTGATGATGGGTGGTGATGGGTGGTGGTGATGATGGTGGTGGTGATGGTGATGGGTGGTGATGGTGGTAGTGAATGATGGTGATGATGGGTGGTGATGGGTGGTGGTGATGATGGGTGGTGGTGATGGTGGTGATGATGATGATGATGCTCGTGACGTTTCTGCTTAATGGTGGCTACGGTGGCGGGTACAGCCACCCTCGACTCACCCATCCATCAATCCGCTTGCCACCTCTACCATTCACCAATCCACCATCCACCCTCCCCCCATCCTCTAATTTATCCATCCCTCTCTTCCATCCCAGCCTCCCTTTCTTCCTCTATCCCTCCGTATTTTCTCTTCGTGAAGTGCCACGTTTACTCCCTCCATCGCTGCCTCTAAATTGTCGTCCATCCTTACGCTGACATCTCCATCCGCCTCCATCCATCCATCCATCTCCTCCCATCCTCCACGTCGCCTCTCGCTTCACCGTTTTCCCTCAACGTGTGCATCGCTATCACCCGTCTCGTTTGCATCCACCCCATCTCTCCTATTGCGATCTCTCTCTCTTTTTTTTAAACGATCAGTGGAAACAAGAAGATGCTCGGTGTATTCAGCACTTTGCTTCGTTCATCATTTCGTAATTTTTTTTTTTAACATTTCGTTAAATCATTTTTTACCACCCATCCACCAGTTTCCCCTCCCTCCCATCTCTACAGTGACATCCTCATTCGTTCATTAATTCATTCGTGCATCCCTACGTCCATGCATTCATTCCTTGCAAAAGCACATCCCCTCCCTCCCCTCCCTTATTTACAATCATCTGTACCTCTCTCCCTCCACCCAATCCACTTTCCCCATCCACCCTTATCCTAATTCATATATTCATTCCTCCCCGTGCATCAATCCTCCGTTCTTCATTCATCCTTCTTCATTCTCTCCCCCCCACCCCCACCTCTCTCTTTAATCCTCCCATCTGTCTAATTTACATACATCCCTTCAACTTAATCAACTCGTGCCAATCAAAAATTAAATTATGCACCACTCCCCAACCTCCCTCACCCGCTAATTCCGTCTCAACGTTCATTTCGGAGTCGATGCCTCACTCCCCACCCGCCCATCTCATCCCTCCCTCACTGCCTCCGTTGAATCTAACAACATCCGTTGTTTGATTCCTTCATGCATCGCTACCAATCACCACATCCATCCGCTCATTTCGCTCTCGTCATCTCACTCCAGCCCTCTCAATGACATCCCCCCTCTTATTGTTTCATATATTCATCCATTTCATCGTTCTCCACCCCCATCCCAGCCGTCCACACTCTCCACATCCCTCCCTCCATTCTCGTATCGACAATGACCCCCTCGTTCATTCATTCATTCATCCTTGCACGCCAAAATCAATCGAGTCACTCCATTAATTCATTCACCGTTCTCGGACCCCACCCGCATCATCCGTTCCTCTCTACGTTCACTCCCGCATCTCCGGCCATTCATTCATTCATTCATTCCTTCATTCGTGCACCCATAAATCAATCTACTCTCTCTTTTAAACATTGATTCATCGTACCCCTGACCAGCCCACCACATCCATCCATCCTCTCTGCCTACCACTATTCATCAATCCCATTTTGTCCTCCACGTCATTCGCTCATTCTTGCGTCGTTCCCCACCCCACCCATCAATTCGACCGCTCTACATCCCTCCCTGTTTCCCCCTCCACATTCTCTACAGTGAGCCCATCATTGATTCATTCATTTGTGCATCTTTACGTCACCTCTTCATTCATTCACTCACCTGTGAATCATTCCCCCACCCCACCGACTCTAGCGACCTATCCAGCCATCCATTCGGCCCACATCCCTCCCCTCCCTGATTACCTCTTCTCTGCATCTCTATCCAATCCCCCTCCCTCCTTGCCTCCCCACCCCTCTCGCGTTTGTCTCCATCCTTTTAACATCCCTCTGTTCAATCCCATTTCTCCATACATTCATGTTTCCATTAAATCGTTTCCCACCCCACTCCCCATCCACATCTCTCCCCCTCCCCCCCATCTCTCTCCCATCATCTCTCTCCCACCCATCTCCCACCCACCCATCTCCCACCCATCCCTCTCCCATCATCTCTCTCCCCATCCCTCTCTCTACCATCTCTCTCCCCATCCCTCTCTCCATCTCCCACCCATCTCTTTCCCCATCTCTCTCCCCATCTCTCTCCCACCCATCTCTCTCCCCATCCCTCTCCCACCCATCCCATCTCCCCCAATCCCCCCCCCCTGCCCCCTAATCCCTTCAGCCCCATCCGTGCGGGTTTGTGTCTCCCTGCAGGATGCCCTGCCCGCCCTGCCCTGCCGATCCGTGTGTCGCGTCGTGTCGCGTCGCGTCGCGCTCGCTCTGTCCTCACCGCGATGGAGAGGGTGTCGTCACCCTGGAATTTCGGGATGAATTTGTCGCCTCGAACCTTCTCGGATTCGTTGAGCGGACGGATCCTGCACATCACCTTGATGCTGCATTCTGACGCGTCAGCCATTGTGAGCGCCTCTCGTCTTCGCCTCTCTCTCTCCCTACCCTTCTCTCTACGCTACCAAAACGCTGCAAAAAACAACAGCAATATTGTAGAAATAATAATATAAAAACAATAAATGAACACGCAAGCAATTTCCGGGCAATTAATCAGCTACCTCCAACCGCATATAACATGATGCCTAAATACAATTATTATCTGCAAGACAATAATTGTACGTGACTCTGTGGGTCTCCGTGTCTCCTCTGCGTCTCTCTCTCTGTCTGCCGGGTGTGCTGTGCGGCGGATCTTTGCGCAAGACGCGATGGGGATGGGAGGAGGGGGGGGTGGTGTGGGTGGGTGGTGTGGGTGGGTGGTGGTGGTGATGATGATGGTGGTGGTGCTGGGTGGAGCTAAAGATGCCCATGGTGATGCTGGGGAGGAGCGGGGAGATGCAGCAAAAAATATCGCGTAGAATGCCGGGAATAATTGCGACTAAATCTTGCTGAAGCACAAATGTTGGGCACAAAATTAGAATTCGAACGATTATTCGCATTTTTTTTGTTTACAGCACGAAGCGGTGCACGTTATTTGCGCAAACATGTTCAGTAAATTATATATTTTTTGGAAATGTCTAAAATATTTTGTGGCATATGTAAAATAGAATAACGCACTGTATGTGATTATTGAGGGCAGTGGTGATTGTCGCGGGATGGATTCCCGCTAACGACCACCACCAACACCACAGCGACTACCTGAGCCGCTCCTGGGCCTCCCCTAGGTCGACTCAGCCTCAAATGAGTACCTGGTGCGGTGTGGTGTAAAACATCGCGAACCGGAGAGACAAAGACGACCGGGCGTGGTGTTGGCCACTCGAACAGTTCGAGTGATGACTTTGCCTTGCGTTTGCCCCCTAATCCACGTGCTCTTCCTTCCTCGTGCCATCTCTCAGTATCATTCAGAGCGTGCCCTGTGATGATTGGTATCGATCGAGCAAACCGTATTCACATGGCACGGCATTGTCTATATATTACAGATATCATCATACTCTTTGGTTCTTTCGGTAAAGTCACGTAGGTAGAAATAAAATCAAACAAATCACGACGTAAAATTTCGATTTAAAGCTTTCGTGACTGCAGGGATTCATCTTCTTGGTTCTTTCGGTAAAGTCACGTAGAAGGGAAATAATAAAATAATAAAAATAAAACATAATAAAATAATTCTCACGACGTTTCGGACACAAAGCAAGCATTCAGACGCTGTCTTTCTGACAGACCTGTTCTCCACCTGAGGACGGCTGCTTGCGTTGTGGCCGAAACGTCGTGAGAAATATTTATAATGTTTGATTTTTATTACTTTATTATTTCCCTTCTACGTGACTTTACCGAAAGAACCAAGAAGATAAATCACGACATTTCGGTCGCAACACAAGCAATCTTCATCAGGTGGAACAACCACAGCAAGAAAATGCTGAACCAGGCGAGATAGCTGCAAGGGTACGCGGAGCCAGGCACGGTGAGAGTTCGACTCCCGGCTCACATCAGTGACAGGTGATAAACATCTGCACTGGTCCTCTCCACGCCGTGATTCATTTGACACATCACTGGTCATCGTCATGATTTCACCTTGGTCATTTCGTCAAGGAGCGTGAACCATCATCACGCGACACTCCGGTCATCGCGCTTGCAGGTGCGCTGCTTCTGCGTCCGTCTGGAACGCTCTTCCGTCCGATGTTAGGAAGCCGCTGGGAGCTGCGCACTTTTAAATCATCATCGTCGAGATTGACAAACTCATCTCTTGAGAACTGCTTGTTGTGAGTTTCGTGTGTTGACCCTAAACTCACACAGAGACCCACAGACCCACACAGAGACCCATAGACTCACACAGAGACCCATAGACTCACACAGAGATCCATAGACTCACAGAGACCCATAGACTCACACAGAGACCCATAGACGCACAGAGACCCATAGACACACACAGAGACCCATAGACTCACACAGAGACCCACAGACTCACACAGAGACCCATAGACTCACACATAGACCCATAGATTTACACAGAGACCCATAGACTCACACAGAGACCCATAGACTCACACAGAGACCCACAGACTCACACAGAGACCCAAAGACTCACACAGAGACCCATAGACTCACACAGACCCACATACTCACACAAAGACCCATAGACTCACACAGAGACCCACAGACTCACACAGAGACCCACAGACTCACACAGAGACCCATCGTTTGCTGTCCCTCCCCCCGCAGTTCCGATGAGCACGATTGACTACGTACGGTGCGAAAGAAGTTCAACACGCAACATCTACATTATGAACCCCACCATCCCACCATCCCACCCCGTGCGTGACCCCCACCACCACGAGGTGGAACTCCCCCGGCCTCCATCACTGTCGCCATGGCCCCGTCGCCTCTGAGACGGCGCACGGGGAATCGGGTAGAGACATCTGCCACAGTGAGCGTGGCTTGACTCGTGAGTGCGCAGGCGGTGCAACTGCGTCGCAGCTCGTGGGGGCCCAGAGGGGGGTGGGGGTGGGGTGGGGATGCCAGGAGCTGTTTCCACCACTATACACACTACCGTGACCCCCACAGGCTCATATAGAGACCCATAGACTTGTATTGAGACCCATGCATTGATATGGAGAAAGGTCGATTTGTGTAGAAGCTCCGCTGATTTATAAAGAGACCCACACATTTGCCGTGACCTTTGGACTCGCATATAGACCCATAGATTTCGATTTAAAGCTTTCGTGACTGCAGGGATTCATCTTCTTGGTTTTTTCGGTAAAGTCACGTAGAAGGGAAGTAATAAAATAATAAAAATAAAACCTAACAAAGTAATTCTCACGACGTTTCGGCTACAACGCAAGCAGCCGTCTTCAGGTGAAGAATGAGACACTGCCAAGCTAGGAGCTTATATATAAGCTGTCGCGAGAATTATTTTATTATGTTTTGTTTTTATTATTTTATTACTTCCCTTCTACGTGACTTTACCGAAAAAACCAAGAAGATAGACCCATAGACTTACACGCAGACGTATAGATTTACATAGAGACCCGTAGACCCACATAGAGGCCCATAGACTCGTATATAGGCTTACATAAGGACCCTATGAACTCACATATAGGTTTACTTAGGGACCCACAGACTCGCATACAAAACCCATAGACGAGAATACAATCCAGTGCCGTGGCTATTAGGGGCCGTCCATAAATGACGTCACGCGATTTTGGACGATTTTTGACCCCCCCCCCCCCTCTCGTCACACGGCGTCACAAAAAGTCAGACCCCCCCTCATATATGACGTCACAAAGATCTGCCCCCCCCCCCCCAAAAAAAAATAAAACATGCTTCAAATCGCTTTAAACTATTGACATTGTAGTGCGTATTTAATGTGGCACTGCACTCTGATGTTGTAGGAGAAAACATTTATTAAAGCGTCTATTTAATTAAGTAGAACGTGTCGTCTATATTTATTTAAAGTTGTGCATTTTGATGTGACGTCACATTTCTCAAACCCCCCTCCCCCCCCCGTCGTCACACATCGTCACAAATGTCTGACCCCCCCCCCCACCCTCTAGGTGCGTGACGTCATTTATGGACGGCCCCTATGGTCACGGGGTCGGCACGCCCTCATCCAGCAGTGGATTAACACAAGGGCCGTTGCGACGGTATGAGTGGAGGGAAAAAATATAATTGTTGTACTGCACTCTGTTCAAACATCTATGCTCCCTCCGCCGCCTTCACCCACCGACTATCCAGCAGTGGATTTGTCACGGCTGATGACACTCAAATCGTGTTGCCATTATGCCTAAAGGCAGATTGCCTCTCTGCTCAAACTGGAAATTCCACGTTGCTATGGCGGGGGGCAAGTCCCACCCTCCCATGGGTAAACCCAATGCTGGCTTCCCCACTAATTGGTTCCCCAATTTATCGACCGCTGATGATGTGCACCGAGTCAATTGATGGCGTTCGCTTCAAATAATTTATCGCGCACTGCCATAACACAAAAAATACACGGGAATCGATCAAGGTATTTGTTATAATTTAACGTTGATTTAATAGTAATTATTTTAGTGTCATTTCTTATCAGGCCCCCATGGTATAAATAAGGGGCAGTCTCAAACTCTTATCCGCTGTCTCTCTCTCGAATGGCCTCTCTACACGCGTGCTGTGAAGAAGGGCGATTGCCCGAAACGTCGCCTATGAATCTTCTTGGTTCTTTCGGTAAAGTCACGTAGAATTGTAATAATAAAATAATAAAGATAAAACATAATAAAATATAAAACGTAATAAAATATTTTATTAATAAAATATAAAACATAATAAAATATTTTATAATGTTTTATTTTTATTATTTTATTATTTCCATTCCACGTGACTTTACCGAAAGAACCAAGAAGATGAATCCCTGCAGTCACGAAAGCTTTACATCGAAATTTAGTCGCCTATGAATTCAAACTCATCGATTAACCGATTCCCCCCCCCCAAAAAAATACCGACTCCTCGAATCGATTCCTTCATACTGTTGTTAGGGTTGGGAAGAATTCCTAACAGATGTATGAAATTGAAACGCCTATTCTTATGTGCGTAGCGAAATTACATTGCATTCTGATTGGTCCAGAGCCATTGCAATGGGGCGTGGTCATGATAGACAGCGAGATGGGCGTGGTGGGAGTCGCGTGACGTCACACGCGATGACATCATCCCACAGATCATTGACGCGCGGTGTAATGACATGCGTGACGTCACACCCGTATGCTAATTTACCATCTCCCCCCTACCCCCGTTACCGTGGTAACAACGGTCACCGAGCACGTGACGCGTTATTGTCCAATCAGTGCGAGGAGACTAGGCCAATCGAAGTGATTAGTTTTCAGGATTTCAGCTTAATCAATTAACGAAGCTTTCGGTGACCGAATGATAATGAGACGTTGTCTTGCACACTCACAATAACAAAGCCCCCACGTGCAATATCCACATTAATCACTCACGAGGTGTACTGTACTGGGAAAGCCGTTGTGCTAGTGGTAGGTTTTTATAATCTTAGGTTTTTTCGGTAAAGTCACGTAGGTAAAACATCAAAATTAATTAAAATAAAATAAAGATCACGACGTTTCGGAGGCAACACAAACGTCGTGATCTTTATTTTATTTTTTATTAATTTTGATGTTTTACCTACGTGACTTTACCGAAAAAAACCTAAGATTATGAATCCTTGCAGTCACGAAAGCTTCAAATCTAGTAGTAGGTTTTTACCCTTTTAAACACCTACTACTATATTT